AGACCCTAGAGCCTGGCACTTTGAACTTGGACTTAAAGCCTCCAAATTGTAAGAATAAACTCCTGTTTGTTAAGGCCATCCCATTTGTGGTATATCCCTGTCAGAGTGGCACTAGGTAACCAGAACAGGCAGAAATATAAGAAGTAGGAGATCATTGTGAGCCAGGTAGGAAGATGTCTACCACAAGAGACATAACACAGGGGGATACAGAGAGTGGAGGGTGGATGAAGAGAGAAGGAAAGACACTGGCATCTTAGCACTTTGTCCAGTGAATGTTCTACGTTTTGACCAATAGACCAACTCTCCTCCTTAGAGGTGACGTGGAAGTAGGAGGGACTATGATCATCTTTTATGTGACTGAGAGTTTCTGAGTTGGTGTGGGTAAGTAGAACGTCACAATTTATCCAGATGAGAAAGACTTTTCCCTCTCATGAACAGAACCAAAATTACTATTTCTCTAAGCCCACAAGACTTGCTCTCAAAACAGAGGAATCTCCTCGAAGCCTTGAAACATGAGCAGAATCACATACTTCTCATTAAAGCTCTTGCTAAGCATCAGAAAGTCAGAAGGAGCAGCTGAACTTCACTTCCAGAGCCCCTGAGGGTATACGACCCCAAGATCATCCCGAAGAAGTCCTACAGACAGTGAGTCGAGCCCAGGGAGGGACTTATAGGGAAATATTCGAAAATGATGTGAAAGGGGAGGAAACTCTGATTGAGGGGAGGAGCAAGCAGAAATGCCTCCAGTGCCCATGCTCTTTCATCTCATGCCCCAAACCTGGGCTTGAAGGGGAAATGCTCATTGTTACTATGCTACAAGGGCTGAAACTGTGTCAGCCAGCCATGATCACAAAAGTAAATCATTGGACATGGAAGATACATTCCATTCATCCTTTCAACAAACATTTGGGACCATTGACTATTCTAGGTGGTTAAGAAAACATGGCTGTCTTCTCATGTAGCTGATGTGCTGGGATGGAAATATATGTGCCTAGATACACATACACACTCTCTCTATCATCTATCTCTATATACGTGTATATATGCATTGGTAGTTCAGTGGTAGAATTCTCTCCTTCCACGTGGGAGACCCAGGTTCAATTTCTGCCCAATGCACCACAGCCACCACTTGGTTCTCAGTGGAAACTTGCATGTTTCTATGAGGTTTCAGCAGCGCTTCTAGACTAAGACAGACTAGGAAGAAAGGCTTGGTGATCTACTTTTGAAAATCAGTCAATGAAAACTGTGTGCATCACAGTGCTCCAATCCACAACCAATCATGAGGGATGTTGCAAGACCAGGCAGTGAGGCAGTGTTTTTTTGTTTTTGTCTTTCTGTTGTACATGCCATAAGTTAGGGGCCAACTTGCTGGCAGCTAACAACAACAACAAAAAAAATAACACCACCATCACACACACACATATATAGAGAACAACATGATTGCTGTTGTTGTGGTTGTTAAGGTGCCGTTGAGTCATCTCTGACTTATAGCGACCCTATGTACAGCAGAACAAAACACTGTCCAGTCCCGTGCCAGCTCCACAATCCTTGCTATACCTGAGCCTATTGTTGCAGCCACTGTGTCAATCCATCTCGTTGAGGGCCTTCCCCTTTTTCATCAACCCTCCGCTTTACCAAGTATGATATCCTTCTCCAGGAAATAAATGGTCCCTTCTTACAACATGACCAAAGTAGGTGAGAAAAGTCTGACCATTCTTGCTTCCAAGGAGTATTCCAGCTGCATTTCTTCAGGACAGATTTGTTAGTTCTTTTAGTAGCCCATAGTACTTTCAGTATTCTTTGCCAACACCACAACTCAAAAGCATCAACTCTTCTTCAGTCTTCCTTATTCATTGTCCAGTTCTCACATGCATATGAGGGGATTGAAAAAATCATGGCATGTGTCAGGCACACCTTAGTCTTCAGAAGATATCTTTGCTCTTCAGCACTTGAAAGAGGTCCATTGCAGCAGATTTGCCCAATGCAATATGTCTTCTGATGTCTTGACTGCTGCTTCCATTGGTGTTTATTACAGAACCAAGTGATATGAAGTCTTTAACGACTTCAATCTTTTCTCCATTTATTGTGATGCTACTTATTTTGTTTTCTTTATATTGAACTGTAATCCATACTGAAGACTGTAGTCTTCAATCTTCATCAGCAAGTGCTTCAAATCGTCCTCACTTTCAGCAAGCAAAGTTGTGTCATCTGCATATTGCAGGTTGTTAATGAGTCTTCCTCCAATCCTGGTGCCATGCTCTTCTTCATATAGTCCAGCTTCTTGGATTATTTGCTCAGCATACATATTGAATAAGTATGAAGAAAGGATACAGCTCCCTTCCTGATTTTAAACCATGCTCTATCGCTATGTTCTGTTCAAACGGCAGCCTCCTGGTCTGTTTACAGGTTCCTCATGAGCACAACTAAGTGTTCTGGAATTCCCATTCTTTTCAATGTTATCCATAATTTGTTATGATCCACACAACTGAATGCTTTTGCATATTCAACAAAACGTAAGTAAACTTCTTTCTGGTATTCTTTACTTACAGCCAAGATCCATCTGACATCAGCAATGACACCCCTCATTCCACATCCTCTTCTGAATCCAGCTTGCATTTCTGGACGTTCTCTGTCAACATACTGCTGCAACTGTTTTTTAATTATCTTCAGTAAGATTTTACTTGCATGCGATATTAGTATTGTTCAATCATTTCCATGTTGTGCAGGATCACCTTTCTTTGGAATTGGTACAAATATGGATCTCTTCCAGTCAGTTGGCCAGGTAGCTGTCTTCCAAATCTCTTGGCAAAGCCAAGTGAGTGTCTCCAGTGCAGCATCCTTTTGTTGAAACATCTCAATGGGTATTCCATTAATTCCTGGAGTCTTCTTTTTCGCCATCTCCTTCAGTGCAGTCTTGACTTCTTCCTTCAATACCGTTGTTTCTTAATCATATGCCACCTCCTGAAATGGATGAACATCAACCACTTCTTTTTGATACAGTGACTGTGTATTCCTTCCATCTTCTTTTGATGTTTCCTGCATCATTTAATATGCTGCCCATAGAATCCTTCAATATTGCCACTCAAGGCTTAAATTATTTCTTCAGTTCTTTCAGCTTCAGAAATTCTGAACATGTTCTTCCCTTTTGGCTTTCCAACTCCATGTCTGTACATTTCATTATAATAAATTGACTTTGTCTTCTCTGGCTGTTTTTTGAAATCACCGGTTCAGCTCTTTTATCTTGTTATTTCTTGCATTTGCTTTAGCTACTCTCTGCTCAAGGGGCAGCGGATGGCAGCTAATAACAACAACAACAACAATAATAATAATAATAAAAACACATAAACATTGAATAACATGATTGCTCAAGGGCAAGTTTCAGTCTCTTCTGAAATCCATTTTGGTCTTTTCTTCCTTTCCCGTCTTTTAAAGACCTTTTTCTTTCTTCATGGATGATGTTCTTGATGTCATCCCACAATTCCTCTGGTTTTCGGTCACTGGTGTTCAATGTATCAAGTCTATTCTTTAGATTGTCTCTAAATTCAGGAGGGATATATTCAAGGTCATATTTTGGCTCTTGTGGACTTGTTTTAATTGTCTTCAAGTTCATCTTGAGCTTGCACATGGGCAGTTGATGGTCTGTTCCACAGTCAGCTCCTGGCCTTTTTCTGGCTAAAGATATTGAGCTTTTTCATTGCCTCTTGCCACAGAGGTAGTCAGTCTGATTCCTGTGCACTCCATCTGGTGAAGTCCATGTGTATAGAGGCCATCTGTGTTATTGAAAAAAGGTATTTGCAATGAATAAGCCATTGGTCCTCCACAATTCTATCATGTGCTCTTCAGTGTTATTTCCATCACCAAGGCCAAATTTTCCAGCTCCAGGTAGTTCTTCCTTGTTTCTAACTTTTGCAAAATCACCAGTGATAATCAGCACATCTTCATTGCATGTTCAGTCAATTTAAGACTGCAGAAGTTGGTAAAAATCATCAATTTCCTCATCTTTGGCTTTGGTGGTTGGTGTGTAAATTTGAATAATAGTAGCCTTCCTTGTAGGCATATGGATATTATCCTATCACTGACAGTATTGTATTTCAGGACAGATCTTGAAACATTCTTTGTGATGATGAATGCCATGCCATTCTTCTTCAGTTTGTCATTCCAGGCATTATAGATCATATGGTTGTCTGATTCAAAATGGGCAAAACCAGTCCATTTCAGCTCACTAATGCCTAGCATTTTTGACAACTTCCAATTTTCCTAGATTCATATTTCACACATTCTATGTTCCAACTATTAAGGATGATTGCAGCTGTTTCTTCTCATTTTGAATCGTGCCACATCAGCAAATGGAAGGCCTCAAAGTTCTACTCTATCCACTTCATTAAGGTCAGCTCTACTCTGAGGAGGCAGCTCTTTCCCAGTCATATTTGAGTGCTTTCCAAACCGAGGGGCTCATCTTCTGGCACTGTATCTGACTATGTTTCAGGACTATTTATAAAGTTTCCCAGTAATATTATCAGACAGTGTTTCACTGCTATTTGTAAGGTTTTCACAGTCCAGTTTTTTGAAAAGTAAATGGCCTCTTCCATCTTCCAAGTCTGTCTTAGTCTGGGAGCACCACTGAGACCCGTCCACCATGAGTAACCCTGTTGGCATTTGAAACACTGGTAATAGCCTCCAGCCTCACAGCAACAATCAAACCACCACAGAGCAACAAACTGACAGAGAAGATCATCTCCCTCAGCTGTTTACAACCACTCAGCTCACTGCCTGGCCTCTCCTCTTACCTGTTCTGGCTGTCCACCAGCTCCAGCTTCCTGCCTTGCCCCTCTCCTTCCCTGTTCTGGCCGTCCAGCTGGCTTCTGCTTCCTGATTCCATCATTGCAGATGGCAATAATATGCTAGGAAGAAAGCAAACGAGGGTGATGGTAGATACTGACAGGGGTGGAGGTGGTTGAGTTGTCAGCTATATCACCTGAATGGCCAGAAAAGACCTCCTTGACAAGGTGACAATTTAAACTCAGTGATAAGGAACCTGAGCAAAGCATTCCAGGCAGAGAGAACCACTCAGACCAGAGCCTGAGCCTGGTCTCTTAAGGACCAGAAAGCAGGCTCTGTGGCTGCAGAATACCTCCCCAAACTTATGAATATTACACAGCAAAAGGGACTTTGCAGAGGTGGTTAAGGATCTTGAGATTACCCTGGATTATCCGGGTGGGCCCGAAATGCCTTCTCAAGTGACCTTATAGAAGAGAGGCAAAGGGAGAGAACACAGACATACAGAGAACGCAGTGTGGATGTGGAGCATGAGAGAAGACCCCACAAGCCAAATGCTATGGATCTAATTGCATCATCCAAAAATATATATTGAAGTCCTGGCCCCTATACCTGTAAATAAGGAGCTTTGCTGGTGCAGTGGTTAAGGCATTTAATTGGTAACAAAAAAGATTGTTGGTTCAAACCCATCAGCCACTCCGTGGAAGAAAGATGAGGCAGTCTGCTTGCATGAAAATTTACAGCTTTGGAAACCCTATGGGGGTCGCTATGAGTCGGAATCAACTCCATGGCTGTGAGTTTGATTTTGGTTTAGTTTGTACCTGTAAATGGAAGCAGTGGTGGATTAGTGGCAGAATTCTTGCCTCTCATGTGTGAGACCTGGGTTCAGTTCCTGGCCAATGCAACTCATGCACAGCCACCATCTGACTCCTTGGAGGTTTGCGTGTTGCTGTGACAGTGAATAGGTTTCAGTGGGACTTCTAGACTAAGATGGAGTAGGAAAAAGGCCTGGAGATCTGCTTCTGAAAATCAGCCAGTGAAAACCGTATCACAACGATTTGATCCAAAATGGCTCATGGGGTTGGGGCATGACCAGGCAATATTCCATTCCATGTGCATGGGCTCGGGAGCCTACTTGACAGCAGCCAACAGCAACATAGCTGTAAATAAGATTCTGTTCAAAAATAGGGTTTTGTTATGTTAATTAGTTAACAGTTTAGTAGGATGGGTTCTAAATCTAATCACTTCTAGTTATAAAGAGCAGAATGGACAGAGACACACATACAGGAAGAAAAGGCACACAGACAACAGAGACAGACGGATTGCTGGCAGCTACTAGA